TGTTCATGTTCCAGAAACTTAACTTAAATGACACCAGATACCCATTTTTTTTAAATGAAGTTGTTATCCCAGGAGAGTTTTTACCCTAAGTAACATTTGTATGTGAAACCTCTGTTTCTTATCAAACAGCACATGGTCAGTATCCTGTTAATGCTGCATGACCTAATTAGATATGCTAACCATCAACCAAAACACAAATTAATACATTTTGTATTTTTGTAAATATATGCCAAATTTCCTTGCTATTGTGCTTTTCCTAATATGCGCACAAGTGAATTGAGGTTTTATAAACCAATTTGCTGTTTAAATTTAATTTTTGGGAACGGTATTTTGAACTACTGTTGAGCAAAAATAGATTGCATTTGTTTCTTTTCAGAATGTATTGGTGTTTAATTTAGTTTGTCTATATTAACGTGAGCTTGAAATTTTTGACATTTCTGCAATGAGGATTTAGGTCACTAGGTGGCCCAGTTGCGCAGTTCATGAGTACACTGAAGTTCCATGCCACGTAAATAGAATATGGCCTCTTCTTTACTACCTGATGGCCAAAAAGTGAAACCCTTACCTTTCATACATTGATTATGTCTTATTTAATATGACATATCTGAATATGTAGATTCTGTTGCATAGGCAAGGATGAATTTGAAAGATTAGATGAAAACAGCTTTGCTTTTACAGGAATTAGAAAGCATAAGATCTGGTCCACTTCAGACAAGTTCTGAATTTTTTATCGTCAGAGATCACAGTGCCCTGAGGATCAGTGTGGACTTGTTGGGCCGAAGGGCCTGTTTCCACACTGTAGGGATTCTATGATCTATGGTCTATAACTACAGGAATTCTTTCCAACCACTGGGTAAGCATTTTAACTGTTAGCGATCATTTTCCAGTCTGATACACAACAGTTTGCCACAACCAGTTGCTTTCTGCCCTTAAGCCAGTGTCTTTTTTTTTTAATCATTCACAGGATGTGGGCATTTCTGGCTGGGCTAACATTTATTGCTCATTTCTAATTGCGCTTTCAGATGATGATGTAGTCTCTCTTGAACTGCCGTCCATAGGTGGTAGGTACATCCATACTGCTGTTCAGAAGGTTAGTTTCAAGGTTTTGACATTAAAAGGTGAAGAATGGCAGTATCATTACAAGTCAGGATGTTGAGTGTCTTGGAGGGGAATTTGGAGGTGATGGTGTTCCCATGGATCTGCAGCCCTTACCTTTCTAGGTCCTGGAGGTCCCTAGATTGCATACTGCAGTCAGACAAACCTTGATAAATTGTTACAGTACAATTTGTAGATGTATACATAGGTACCACTGTGCCAGTGGTGAAAGAAGTGAATGTTGGAGTTTGGATGAAGTGTCAATCAAATAGGCTGTTTTATTCTGGATGGTGTTGAACTTCTTGAGTGTTGCTGGAGCTACTCTCACCCAGGCAAATGGAAAGTATTCTATCACACTCTTAACTGTACCTTGGTGAACTGACTTTGAGGAGTCAGGAGGTGAGTCACTCGCCAAAGCATTCACAACCTCTGACCTGCTGTTGTAGCTACAGGATTATTTGGCTAGACAGTTTCTGATTAATCATAACCCCTAAGAATGTTGATATGCTGGCTACTTGGTAGTTTCTTTAGCTTATATTTGTAATTTATAATTTCTATTGACTTTTAGGAAGAAGAGGAGGAAAGTTCTGATAGAGACAGTAGCAGTGAAGATGATGATGATGACGACACTGCTGCCCTTTTGGCTGAGCTAGAGAAAATTAAAAAAGAACGTGCTGAAGAGCAAGCACGCAAGGTAAATTTTAAATGGCTATTCTTCAAAATATTTTGAGTTCTCCCTTTAAATCTAAATGTACATGTTCAGTATAAGAACTATAATCTGTGACTTTTAAATGAATATTTATTTAAAGATTTCATTTCATCCTCTTTAGTTTTTTTTATTCTGCTGGTTCAAAATTGCTGTGGATGAATAAAACGTTATAATTGGATAAGACCTGTACTTTGGAGAGAGGTACTTGATGGAGTGGTTGGGGGCGGTTTAAAACTAATGTGGCAGGGGGGTGGGAACCAGAAGAGTAGGGCAGTAATTGCAGAAGTTGAGGGAGTGGTAGAAACCAAGGCAAACATGACTAAGAACAAGAGCAGACAGGGAAATGCTGCTGAAAGAGCAGGGGAGGTGGTCTGAAATGCATGCGTTTCAAAGCGAGAAGTATAATAGGCAAGGTAGATGAACTTGGAGCTTTGATTAGTACTCGGAGCTATGACATTATTGCAATTATCGGGACTTGGATGAAAGAGGGACAGGGAACTGGCAACTGAATGTCCCAGGATTTAGATGTGTCAAGTACAATAGAAAGGGATGTAAAAGAGATGGGGGAGTTGCATTACTGGTAAAGGAGCATCTCACAGCTGTACTTACAGAGGATACATCACAGGACTTGTGCAGCAAGGCAATATGGGTAGAACTCAGGAATAGGAAAAAGTGAAATCATTTCTGGGGGTATACTACAGGCCTTCTGGGCCCATCAAGTCCACACTGACCCTCCGAAGAGCATCCCACCCAGAGCCAGCCCCCTACCCTATCCCCGTAACATTAAAGAAAACAAACCCTTGGTACATTTCAATTTGAGACTAAACTATGAAAGCATCTCAGCATGCTTTGACAATAAAGAATAGGAATAGGAGTAGGCTGTTTGGCCCATTGAGCCTGCTAAGAAATAGGAATAGGAGAAGGCTATTTGACCCATTGAGCCTGCTGTGACGTTTAATCAAATTATGGTGATCTGACATTTCTCAACTCCACTCTCCTGCCTTTTCCTCACTACAGTTGATTGCCTCACTGATTAAAGATCCATCAGTTTCCGCCACTGGTCACAATCCTTGCATCTATCCCAGTTTTCATTTAAGGTAGCTTTACAAACTAAATCGTGAAATAATTTTTTTTGTCCTGTTGAATTCAGTACATTTTGCAGATATCTAAGAAATCCCAGCACATGAAGAACACAAATACAATTTTGTATGGTGGATTCATAGGTTAAAATCCAGTTTAGGCTGCACATGTGTAATCTTTATTGTAATGAAGAATCTTAATGGACAAAGTAATGTTGTGCTGCTGTTTAGTTACTGTGGTCTTGATGTTAATATTTCAGACACGATGGAAATAAGTCGTTTTGGAATTTGTTAATAATACGTGATGTTGAATATGTCTAAGCATTAACCTACAGTGAGAGATAACACAGTGTGGAACTGGAGGAACACAGCAGGTCAGGCAGCATCAGGGGAGCAGGAAAGCTGAAGGGTCCTGACCCGAAACATCAGCTTTCCTATTCCTCTGCAGTGTTCCTGCAGCTCCACGTTGTGTTATCTCTGACTCCAGCATCGGCAGTTCTTACTATCTCTGAATGAGTTATAACCTACAGTGAGAATTTTTTGTCGTTTGCTGCACTGAGACCCAGCAGTGCAGTTTACTGGGAGCAAAAATGGCAAGCAGTTGTGGGAGTGACTTTTAGTCACTGCATCATGAAAACTGTAAACATGGCTGCTTCAATGTAAAGGCATTGGCAAACCATGTTTAGTAGTCATGCTTAATTTTACAGAATTAGAACTTTAAGCATAATTTTTGAAAATTAAAATATAAACCATTTGGTGTAATGATTTTAGTCATTTTAAGAAATGGTATAACTATGCTACACTCGTGTTAGAAATAGTTCCCTCATACATTCCAAGACCCTTGAAAATTCATTCACTTATCTTGGGACCAACGTTTTGTCATATTCTCTTCAGGACCCAACTTTTCAGGAGATATAAATTTTCCTGGGGAATCTTGAAATAGTGTTTAGCATGGACTTCTTGGCTGCACTGCTGCCTTGCTTAAAGATTTAACCGTCATTTTACTGGCTCTTTTTATGTCCACAGGATCTGTACAATTTCTGACCCCACAGTTGATTCACAACTCCTGGCAGGTGCTTCTTCTGTCTAAGCTAACTACAGATTGTATTCTGTCACAGTGCATATTTCTTCCTTTAACTTACAGCTAAGCAAATTTTGAATTCCAGCTGCGGATAAACCTCACCTTCATGCAGAGAATGATACAACTGGTATTTTTTCAGCTTAAAATGCAAGCCTCACTAGCACTTATTTCCTTTGGTGCTCTCAACTCATGTTTACGCTACAGTTTACGCTAAACTAAAATCAAACAGGAATCTTCTGAAACCTCAGCCCATCTTCATAACAGTAGGGCATGCTTTGGAATATTCAAGTAGAAATGTAAGCTAATTAGTTTTATCTTTAACACAACTGTTAAATTCTGTAACCCACATGAATAATTTGTATCTCGAATGGGGATTTGCAATCCCCTGTCACAGAATTATTGCCCATTTGAAGAACTCTCTTGATCACAAATTACCTTGTTTCCTTTCATCTGGGAACCATGTAACCAATTTAAGTCTTTTAAAGAGGCAAGGGTAAACTTTCTGTCTCCATTACAAGACCAACAACATGCTATTCATTGTTTAAGTTTTACATTTTTTATCTCTGACCATATAAAATAAGCATAGGTTAACTGTTAACCATTAATAACTCCAAGTTTCTTTGGTTTTCATTCATTCTAAATACCTACCAATCTCGTAATAAGGGGCACCCATTCATCTTCAGTTAGCTTGTGGTTTCAGTAAGCAGAGTTTTATATTCTATGTGATTAAAATTATGAACTAGATTTTCACCACAATGCTAAAAAATGTGAAAAGACTACTTTTTTGACAATATTGCTCAACTTTTAAAGGGTTTCATGTTATATCAATCAGCTTTAACATTAGAATAGTGTAGGCCTCCTCATTAAGTATTTGCAAATCTTTCTGCCTGTAAATATATATAGAAAATTGCAACTAGCCTAAATCTGTGCTGGTTCTATATCTGCCATTTGAAGTGATGAATCCTGAAAAAGTAGGGTAGCCTACTGCAACTTTTGGATTTGTATTATACTCTATATGTACACTGGAAGTTGCAGGATCTCTCCAGTATGAATTGGTGTTTAATGCTGAGTGCATAATTTGTACTCTGTCATTTTGTTGCACAGATTACTGATCCATGTAAGGTGTCCAAGTCCCTTGTTGCGTTGACTAAGAGCAGAATCCTGCCAGCTCCTGAACGAAGTAGGCCATGGTGAGAAAGTGGGGAAAATTGTATGAGATGGCCAGTGAGGAGAATCTCAACATCAAGAACAAAAAGTCACGTTTTCCAACTAAATATTGAATGGCAAGATGAGGTTCCCAATATTGAGCAGTGAGAGGCCTATTTATGTGGATTAGCTAGCATTAACATCTCATTTTAGATAATTGAAACACATTAATATATAATTTCCCATTCTTCCACCCATTAGGTAGAAGTTCCCAACATGAAAGTCAGATAATTTACCCAGTAACTCCAGCTTACAACATGCTTCTCCGGATGCCATCTTGGATATTAGGAGTAAACATCTCGGGGCATTGTCCACATGCACTCCCTGTCACAACCTGGCAGTCCACATATACCAGCTTCACTGCATCACAGTGGTACATCTCCAATTCATTTGTAGTATGCTTCTGTAGTATGCTGCGCTTTTGAATACACCAGCGCTTTTCATTGGAAGTGCTGCCCGGACACTTTGCATGGACGGACAGGCACCCAACTCATGGACCAGACCATGGTTTATCTCGGGGCTGCTTGCTTGCTGTCTTAGAACTCACTTTGAGCTTGCTTCAGTGCTCTTAGTTTTTCTGTCTAGTCTTGCCCTTCTGCATTTTGGCCCTTTTTGTCAGTGTATACAGATTCTTAACACTTCCGTTTTGGTTTGCAAAGACAAGTGCAGAGACAAAGCCAGTCAGCTTGTCATGTTTGCCAAGAGTAATCAGTCAAGGGGCTGACATGTCATTTTATGTTACCGGGAACAATGTAGCTGAGAAAGGTTGTCACCACACCTGGAGTAGACAATGTAAGCACTTTGTTCTGTGAGGGAGGGGGTTTCATGTTTGAGCAATGTGAGACACTTCAAAGCGCAACAGTATTGCATGAGATAACTGTTATAGTGCAGGTGAAAGACACCTGCAATCCTGACATGCTATGTGGCACTTGGACATTAGCCTATGGTGGACACTACAAATCCTGACCCCAAACACACTTGATCACAGCATGCAACATCAGGACTCATGCCAATGATGGCTGAGTTGCAGAAGTAATGTAATTTGCCCTGAAAAAAATTCACCTTAGTTGCCAAAGTAGTAAGCACATTCCAAGTTCCTCTAATATGCATATGGTTTAGGTGCTGGTCATCTCACTCCTCGGATCATTAAACCCTACATAACGCTAAGAATTCCTAGGCTCTGTACACTCAATGTTGTAGTTGCAAATGAATAGATATTCAGTCAACAGCTGATGATGAAAAGTGAACATGTGTTAACAAAGGTAATAATGGTGAAGTCTCACTTACACCACCTGTATGCTATAAAGATGTAGAGGTCTACAGTACAGAATAAGGCCCTTCAGCCCATTTAGTCTGTGCCAGTCCAGGACAAACACCTAACTATTTTAATCACATTTTCAAGTACATGGCCCATAGCCTTGTATGTCTTGGCATCGCAAGTACAAATCTAAATGCTTTTTAAATAATATGAGGGTTTCTGCCTCTACTACCCTTCAAAGGCAGTAAGTTCTAGATTCCCACCATCCTCTGGGTGAAAAGAGGTTTTCTCACATTTCCTCCAAATTTCCTGCCCCTAACCTTAAACCTATGCCCTTAGTCTTCGATCCCTTCAATAAGGG